ATAATAATAATATATAATATTTACAGTCTATGATAAATACATGTTTACTGGTTTCAGAAATAAGGTATTTTGTGCTCCACTAAGGAACAATCAATTGTATTTGACGCGATTCTGTCTGGATTAAAAATAAATAAATAAAATAAAATAAAATAAAATAAAATAAAATAAATAAAAAATATTTCTGTCAAATTCTGTGAGAGATTTTGAGCATCATACTATATTTGAGGAATTTTTTTTCATGGGGAATTCAGATCCTTTACTGAGTTTAAAAACTAATAGCCTAACACATGTGTAAGGGAAATAATTCAGAGGGACACCTGTAGTAAACCTGCATCTATATTTGAATAGAGTAATCTGTACACTGACATTAACTAAAAGAAGATTTGAGAATTAACCAGAAAACATTTTGTGTCAATTCAGGTGTGAGAAGTGTCCTTGAAGATGCTCCCTTATTAATTCGGTTATTGTAAAATATAGGCCAAACGTGACCCTCTTTGCATTATCGTCAGATTGCAGATGAAACGATAACTCACCTTTTCTATGACTGCTCTGAAAAAAAACAGGCTTTCTGGACTAATATTCATCTTTTTAATCAAAACTAGTTGTTTAACTAAGAGTCAAAATGTAATATGTACATTAAATTATTAACCAAACCCTAAAGCAAGCATACGTTTCTGTATATCTGGGTCTGTTCTGCTCTGATGTAAATCCAGATTCCTCCTCAGTTACGGCAACATGAGTAAATGTAATTTGTTAGCTTCCACCCCTGCTGTAATAAATTACAGATACCTGCTTGTATCTGATCTATGGATACAGTCACATGCTGGGGATGAAGATTCACTTTTATTAAAGCTCTGAAGAGTTCTTCTCTTATAATACTATCAGTGTTTTTGCAACGTTTCCTTTTTCCTGTTTAACATTCAGTTGAGGTGAAGACTGGTGGAGGCTGCCGTCACTGATTACTTTGTTCCTCGAGTTTGAAGCACATGTTAATCTCTCAATCTAAAGTCTGTGGGGGGAAGAAAGAAAACCTGATGTTTGACAAACTGAAACCAGAGAGTGAAGACAAAAGAGGAATGAAGTGCTGCTCTGTCTCTATGGTGATACCAGAGATGTCTCTGTGAATACTTTGGGTGTTTCTGCTGTGATTCCATCTTGTGTTTACTTCATTACACATGTTGAATGTAAAATAAACATGTGTGTCTCCTTTAAAAGAAATAAACTATGGGATGATGTTTATTGGAAAATGCCGATTATTTTTGACATGATTAAAAAGGTTGCTGTTTATTTCTGTAAATAAATAAATGTCTAACTATAGTGAAACTTTGAATATATGCATACAATGTAATTGCAAAAAGTAGAAATAGGCATGTTGTTTGAATTTCACTCAGGGTCAATAAAGTATAAATCTATCTATAATGTATTATTGGCCTCTTCCAGGCCACTATGCATACAATTCTCTCATGGTTGAAATCACAAAGGGAAGTGTTTGAAGGATGAATAGATTAGTTTCCTAAAGTGGGGTGTGGGACCCCCACCCGGAGTAATGACGGCACATCGCTTTCACTGCTAACAAATCAAAGCAAGTGAGTTTACACCAGACGTCACACATTTACAAGTTATATGTTTTAGCATCACTTTTATCGCTTTATCGTTTGTTGTCACACTGAAGTTTCTGTTCTGTAGTTTTATTTTACAGACAATGTTTGAGATAGATTCTTCTCAAAGTATAGGAATGTGTTAGCCTGACATTGTGTTTGTTTGTGAATATATGTTGATGTGTGATGAACAGAGGCATGTGGAGGGTTGGAAATATTTTCATCTGCCAAATGGGGGCTCAGTTGAAACAAATTTGGGAACCACTGGATTACTGTATGGGCTGCTTTGGACCCTTAGATTAAAGTCTTACATCAGTAATTTAAACAGAACCTTAGACTCTAAGAAACACACCAACATGTCAGTGTTTTCATATGAAACATTTTACAGGAGAATTCTTAAACCCATTTCCACCAAGCGGTCCGGTTTGGTTCAGTAAACCCTGATCTTGCTCACATTTCTGCAGCCAACTGTACCCTTAAACATCACTGAATCACAAAATCTCCAAGGCAACAAACAAAAACATCCTTGAAATTACTCTCTCCAAATCCACAAGATACTTAAACTTGGTGCATTTTATTACCGCTGTACCACAGGAAGTGAAGATTCTTTCGACCAATCAACGGACTGCAGTGTGTCTAGCTCCAACCTTTGGGTCGGATTGGTACACTTTGCACCCCAACAGAAGGGTACCAAAAAAGTAGGATGGTATGGATCAGTTAACTTGGTACCCTTCCCAACTTTTGACAGTGGAAACACAAATAAATGTGTAACTGTACCAAACCAAACTGAACCGCTTGGAAACGGGCTTATGATACACATTCATTGGTGTTTTCACTGTCAAAAGTTGGGAAGGGTACCAAAATAACTGATCCATACTGTCCTACTTTTTTGGTTCCCTTCTGTTGGGGTGCCAAGTGTACCAATCCAACTCTTGCAGTCCATTGATTGGTCGAAAGAATCTTCATATCCAGCAACCAAGATCAGGGTTTACCGTACCAAACTGTACTGAACCAAACCGGGCCGCTTGGTGGAAACTTTTAGCTAAAGGCTTAGAGTTATGGGTAACCTGTGAAATGTTTCATCCTCACAGTGTGTTGGTTTGGACCGCCGTGTGATCAGAAGGAGAAACAATAACGACACAGACACATGACGCCTTGAAAATAAATAAACTATATTCCAATAAGGTCGACATCACTTGATTCAAGACCTTCATGTTCGTTCAGTAACACATTACACCTCATGCCATGTTCTCAAAAAAAAGTTGTAATTTTTTTTTTTTTCTAACATTTTTTTTTTCTGCATTTCATTAAAAAAAAATAATTAGATAATCATGAGCAGTTAATAATTTATTATTACAGTATTGAATAAATGTATATGTCTATCACAAGATATTGTAGTAACTCAGTCAGTAACTTCCCTACAAAGGTTCAGGCAGAGAGAGAGAACGTTTCATCACCACAGGAAAAAACTTCACAGAGAGAGAGAGACACATTGAAGAGCAAGACCTGGGAGGGAGCGAACGTGAGAAGAGGAACAGAAGAAGAAGAAGACACTTACACAGACATAGAAATATCATACAAGACAAACAAAGAGATGACCTGGGACGTTGTTCGATGCAAACAAATCCTTGACACAACAGAGCAGCACTCTTTTCACAGCTTGTAGTAAATAAGTAGTCGACACTGAATCCATAAATCTGTCCCGAGTGTGTGTGTCTGTGTGTGGTATGGAGTTTGGATGTGTCTGTGTGTGTGCCCACCTGCTCATTTCACTTCACAAAGACCCTCTCTGGTGTCTCGGATTTGAACTGAGGTGGGGGGGAATAAACCCCGATAAAAAAAATAATGCCGATCGGCGTCCATCATAGAAGACCATGCTGCTAACACGGGTACACAGGGATTCATCATGCATCTGCAAGAGGAACACGGAGGAGGAACAAACACAGCAGACACACACAAAGACGAGGGAGGGGCGATTGAGGAGGGGAGAGAGAGTCTAGATGGGAGTGGGAGTGGGAGTGGGGGGGATAGGGGGGGTCATCACATCTAGCTACAGAACAGCAAAGGCCAAAGCCAGACAGTAAGTACAGAAGTTCATGGAAACATGGAACATTGTCCAGGCATTGAAGACAGTTCCTTTAGCGGGTGCTGAGCCACATCTGGATCACATCTGCTGGGACAACTGCTGGGTACGTAAATCCAAGCGAGTCCAGATCCATTTTTTACCCAGTCAAAGATTACACACGAGTTCAGCTGACGTGTGTGTGTGTGTGTGTGTGTGTGTGTGTGTGTGTGTGTGTGTGTGTGTGTGTGTGTGTGTGTGTGTGTGTGTGTGTGTGTGTAATCTTGGTCCCACCTAGTTGTTTAGTAAGTAAACTACAGTTAGGCTCGACGACAGCATTAATATCTACAAAAAACACCACCGTCTTCAGCTCATGACTTAACCCAAGACTGACGATTATACTGGCAATGCTCCACTCTGTTTCTTCATGTAAACATGCTACGTACACTCAAAAGAACTCCTCCCCCTGCAGGACGAGGAGCGATGAAGAGATGTATGTTGGCGGAGGGTTTTTTACGACAAACACTGAAGCAGAGAAAAGATGTGTGCTGACCTCTCGTCAGAGCTACTTAGTCATTAAAGTTAGATCGTGTTGAAACTGTTTTCTGTATTGCACATTGAAACCAACCCTCCTGGAAAATGATTTCCAAACCGTTCGCCCCACAGGGACCCCCTGCGGCGCAGCGTATATCCATAGATAAATAATCTTCTTGTAAACAGTGGCGGTTCTAGAGGGGCCAAACTGGGGCCAGCTGTTTTGTCAGAGAGGAACATTAAACCCAGGTGAAAAATAGACAAAGATAATCCCTTTAAAAAATACATATTATGACAAATAATAGCACCCATCATTAAATACCATGATTTATTTGTTTCAGTAACAATATTTAATACTAGATTGTGAGTCAGGTTGTTGAGTCAAATACTGTGTATGGGTCTTCCTTTTGGAGGGGTGGCCACGGGGGGGGGGACCAAGCTCACTGGCCCCTGTTGGCCCCTGCCTAGAACCGCCCATGCTTGTAAATAAATAAATATCTAAATAAATCCTCTAATGAGAAGAAATATATACATAAGTAAACGCAGACGCAAACCAGTCAGCAGACTATGTCGGAACAATAGATGGGATTATGTTATGATACACTACACTGTTTCAGCGGTTCAAAGGGAGGCGGGGGGGGGAAAATATTTCACCGTGGAAAATATATCAAAGTCGAATCCACTAAATTCAGAGACGATGACATCTACACAAGCGGCGGCATATAGGCTACTGACACTCCTCTAAACGTCGTTTAGAAGTACAAAACAATCTACCTTGGCTATATCTGCAAGGAAAAGATAGAAAAGTGTTTTTTTAGAAAGTTTTACAAAGTATGGTGAGCTCACGGCGGTAAACAAATCAAATCCTTTCTCTCATTTCATGAACGACGACGACGAGTTGTAACAAATTCCACTTTTTTATAGCACTTATCATTTTGTGGGCGAGAGTTTGTTATCGTAGCACTCACAGAGAGATGTGTGTGATGTGACTGATATTGTGCAGAGAGGATTATTACAGTCATGATAAATGATTAGCTCTCATCATGTAAAAAGGAGGCTGGCCTTTAAATGCTCTGACTTTCTAATCAATTAGTTAACCACTGAATTATCATTAATCTGTTGCACAACGCTCGGTAAATTTGCTATGGCCTTTTTTTTAATGAACTGATTGTTTGTTTGCAACATGCTCAGCCAATCAGAGCATGTCTGCAAACAGCATGCCGATGTTGTTCCAACTCTACCATGCAATACTGAGCATGACATAAAATGCTTAGAAGAGCGGTGCTCATGAATGAGTCGTTCACTGAACCACCTGTTAATGTTGCTATGATTTATAAAAAAGATGATCTAACCGGACACAGGGGCTGCTGCTGCTTCTGTACAGAAATCCTGTGAGCTCGTCAGGCTGTCTGCTGCTGACCTGCAGACTGTAAACATATAGTCTAGAGAACAATTACACGATAGACCTTTGTTAGCTTTTTTTGTACAAAGACTTTCCCTCAAAATGGGAAGTGATTTTTTTAGCATGTCTGGTACTGATATTGTGCTCTCAGTCAGCACAGATGAGCGGAGACACAATTACAACAGTCTCCACGCTGTGGTCTGCATCCTGTGTTAGCCTACTTTAGAGCTGCAGACAGTTCATATAGACTCCCTCTCATGTATTGCACACTTAACCGCTTGTCGCTGAAAGAAGAAACTCAACATAAAGTGCAGTCTGGACAGCTGAAAGCTTGAATACGAGATTTTTTTTACTTGAGAGTTGGAGTTAAGGCATTGTATGTGTGCTCTATTGTATGGGTGCTCTATTGTATGGGTGCTATCTTAAGCATCTGTGGAATCTGTGGAGTCAAAATTGACGACTGGAAGGGTTAGCTAACACTGTTTATGTCTTGTTTGACCCATCCATGCGTGTGTTTGTCCGATCATGCTGCTGTCACTACAGAAAGGTGCAGGATTAGTCTGTCAGGATTCATGCCACAGTAATGGATTAGTCTGTCACTACTCAGAATGACACAGTGATGACTGACTGCATGTTCAGTGTCTGTCTGCACTCACATTCACTTCTCTGGCCACGTGTGTTGTGATTACACTCCACACAGCGCGCACATGTGTGTGTGTGTGCACAAAAAAACGTCCTTCCTGCTCCTCTCAGACCAAACTCTCTTCCGTCTACTTCCTGTCTTTCTGACACAGCGTTTTTAAAAAAAAGGAAGGTTTCACATCAAGGAGCAGCTGAGCAGACACAAACACAGGGATGTTTTATAATTTACAACTTTATTTCCCTTTTCTATTGAACTGTGTGTGCATTAGAAGATGATCCTGACTTTACATGCAAACGATCTTCAGTTTGAAATTATCAAAGGTTACCACGGAAACGATTCAGTCGAGAGACAAATGCGACAGAGACGCAGGATGCTATGGCTCTTTTTAAAAACATTGATCCATTAGTGTATCAGCTGAGACTCAAGTCAGTATTTCATTGGCTGAATATATCGCCGTTCATTTCCACACTCCCTAAGTTATCTTCAAGTCTAATGTTAAGCATGTGCGTGACAGAGGAAGTCTGAGTCCGTCTGCTGAATGAAAACACTACACTCGATATATGTACACTGGTTTTTGACTATTTACAGCGCGTGTGGAGAAACGCATTCACCTATACAGTGTGTTAGACGAGCATCACTTTACAAGAACCCCCCCCCATAGTAAACAAACTTCATGTTATAGCTATTGTAAACATTTCACTCCTTTTTTATTTTCACTCTGTGCTCCGCCTCCTGAGTGAAGACGGGTGGAGCTGTACTTGAAAAGGAGAGGAGAGGAGGGGTGGGAGGACAAACAAATGCGAGATTCCCTCGATGCAACTTGGATGGATACATTTTTTTCTACACAGGCTTCTTCTCCATCAGCGGTCTGACCCGATGCCTCCGTCTCCGATCCTTCCTAAACCCACCTGGCCTTAAATCAACAACAACCCTCCAGCAGCTCACCTGACCCTCTCTCACCTCCAAAAATGTCACGACCACTTCATCACTCTCTCCGTTCTCCGTCTGCTCTCTGCTAACTTTGCTACAGTGACCTTCTGTTTTCACACTTCTCGCCCTTCAAACACACTTCCCCTGGTCCTTCATCATGCCTGTAACGGTGTGTGTGTGTGTGTGTTAGGATCTGTTTACACATGCGTTAATATGATGTGTGTGTGTGTGTGTGAACATGAATCTGATCCCTGCATCACCTCCAGGCTGCAGGGCGCCCGGGTGTGTGTGGTCAGTAAACGAATGAGTGTGTTAATGTGTGTTGCCGCCGTGCAGGATTCTTCCAGAACTCACTGCATCTTCTTTTCTTTTTTTTTTTAAAAGCCCGGGATGTGGCAGTAGGCCTCCAGGCTGGAGAAGAGGATGTAGAGCAACCACAGCCCCACGAACAGCAGGCTGGTCAGGAGGCGGGGCAACCTCGGGCCGCCCAGCTCGCCGCCAAAGGCGGGCCGACGTCTGAACAGGAGCACGGCCATGGCGATGAAAGCGAAGATGGTGAAGAGTGTGACGGAGAAGGCCAGCGACCCCGGGTCCACCCTGAACTCCTTCCCTTGCACTTTCCAGTAGATGGCGGCCACCGACCACGCCACGCCGATCCCCAGGAACACGTTGACAGCGTTGCTACCGGTGACGTTGCCAACGGACGCGTCAGCATGCTGGTCCTGCATGGCGGCCACTTTGCTCGCAAAGGTGTCTAGGATGGAAGGGTTAGGGTTAGACAAGAGGTGGCGAGTTAAACATTTTTTGATTTTCGATGCAGATCAATGTGGGCTTCAAGCGACTGTTTACAAAAATGAGCTCTTCTCTAAAGAAGTATCAACAAAGGAATGAAGAACACACTGAGGAACAGAGAATAAATATAAATAGATTCATGGGGCGCTGGTGGAGCTGGTGGAGCTGGTGGAGCTGGTGGAGCTGGTGGAGCTGGTGCAGAGGTTAGTGCATGCGTATGTGAGTATAGAGGCCTATTTTCAAAATCAAAAACAAAGAAAACGTCCTGAATGGCCGACTGTGGCACTCGGGTTTCAGGGACACTGTGGCTGTTTTCAAAACCGTGTACTACATACTATTATCTAAATCAATATGCAGTTTATACTGTATCCTGCAGACTGAGTTCAACAGTAGTATGTAGTATGACTGCCAGTCGTCGGTTATTTTGCGGTATACTTGACACGGTTAAACTGGTTTCTGGTCCTGGAATGCGGGAGTAAAGAACAGCCCGTCTGGAGGTGATTAACAAGTCTACAATCTCTCATATATTCTGTCATTTATACACAACGCCCTGGGTTGAAATATGATCGCATGCTATTAAAGTTGTCGTATACTTTTCATTCAGGTTTAACTTTTACTCAGCTGTGAATAATATGAAGAGCAAGCCAAGGACCCTGTAGCTGCAGCTGCTGGTCCAGCTGTGACACATGAACTGTACAGTCTACAAAGCAGGAAAATCTGAGGTGGTACGACTTATAAATATATGAACATGTCTTATTTGTTATTGGTTCATAATGTGGCAAGATATTCAGTCACCGCCACCGACGAGTTCAAACAGCTGCGCTCCGGCATTTGATTTCTGACCTGGCACTTTGCATTGTGGGAAACAGCACGCGAGGTAGACTGGTCCGATGCATACTGTACATTTTTCCTGAATCAGTATGACATCCTGGTATTTTTGGCATACTGCGGATCTCGCTGTTGTTTGCATACTGCATATTGCATTTTGGCCAAATCAGTACTAGTAGTATAGTATGTGGTTTCCCTCACCTCTGTTGATGCACATCATCATCATCATCATCATCATCATCATCATCATTATCATCATTATCATCATCATCATCATCATCATGGTCTCATTTATTTCTAAACAGCTGAATGTAGGATTCATCCATTTATTCTATTTATAAAAACAGGATCAATCTTCTGCTGATGTTGAACAGTCTGTTACTGTCCTCACATCACCTCTCTCACAATGTAAAAAAAAACTTCACTCACCTGGAATAGAAGTTCCCAGAGCGACAAACACCACCGCGGTCACAGTGTCCCGAAGCCCCACGGTGCAGCCGAAGTGCGACGCCAAATCGCCGATGACGGCGGTGAGCAGGCCAATGACGCTGATGGAGACTAAGAAACAGGCCCAGCCGTTCCAGTACTCCGTGGGAGGGACGCAGGCGAAGAGAACCTTCCAGAAGACGGTGAGGAAATGCATGACGTAGTCATAGCACGATGGAAGACGCTCCTCGCGACCCTCCTCATCATCGTCATCACCATCGCCTGAAGGGAGAGAAACAGAGGTACAGGTAAGACAAACCGTTCACGACCTCAGAGTCAGAACAGCTGGATCAGTTTGATTACATGATTCTGGCATTTAAAGGGTTAAATTCCTGATAATTATTAAATATTTGATCGTTTTGAGCAGGGCTGAAGTTGTTTAAGAGATTTACGCGAATAAAAGTAGAAAAGAATATGAATCTGTTCTATTTTTATAGCAGTTTTTTGTAAATTGGACATTTTCGCTCTCCAATGTCCAAACAGGGAACTACGTTTAAATTCTGACGCTACACAAAAACTAACAATGCATCAAAGTCAATATTTTGGATAATCTTCGACATATCCAAGACTGATTTTAAACCAAATATTTGTTATATGGAAAATAACAAATTTTTGTGTTTTTTCCCTAAATAACAACAGTGACATCAAGTAATCAAACTGGCATTTAAAGGGTTAAATTCCTAAAAACGATTGATTGAATGGTAGTTTTGAGCAGGGCTGAAGTTGTTTAAGAGATGTACGCAGAAAAAAGTAGAAAAAAATATCAATCTGTTTATTTTTATAGCATTTTTTTTAAGTGGACATTTTTTGTCCTTAGTGACTTAAGAGTAAAGTTGTTTCAGTGTTCTATTGATCTATTAAAAAAATTAAAATGTGCATTCCAAAAAGAGAGAGACTCGTCTTTGTCTCAACAACTTTGAGTCGCTGACAAGTTTCATGCACATTATGAAAACATGATCACCTTCAAACACAAACAGGATACAGACTAAAGTCCAAACAGATCATCTGTTGACTCCAGACTGGACTCTTTACTGTCAGCAGTGCACTGTTACTTCCACTAGATGGAGGTCTTGAATCACTTCCACTCCCACCAACGTTTCTTAGAGTAAAAAGATTTTTCTCCACTGCCTGCCTGAGGACTCGTTCAATAATTCATGTTTTCCAATACTGTGACATAACAAGGCCCTGCAGTCGTTTGTTTATTCTACACATGAACAGCCGTCTTTGAAGTCGACACATTAAGTCAAAGGCTGATGGTTAAAGTTTAACATCTGCTGTTCATGCTTTATTGATGCACAGAAGAGAAATACAGCACCTTTTTTTCACCTTCAGATCATCATCATTTAGAGAAAATCAACCTGAGGATAACAAGGCGGCCCCTGTATGCTCCTGTGTATAACATTAGTTTAATGTAGTAGTGATTATTTATTTCAGTCACGATGATATTATGATGATTATTATTTTCTTGAAGAAAAAACAAAAACATTTTGACTGAAAAGGTGAAGGCTGAAGCTTTATCTTATTACACCTACCCTTATTACAAATCTTATTATTTAAGACACTAGTTTGGTTACAAAAACAAAACATATCAGAACAAAATTTGTTCCAAGAATTTATTTAAAAACAAAACAAATGAAACAAACAAAAAACAAAACAGAAGTCACACTCACAGAAAAATAATCAAACCGACCTTTTATATTTGTTAAACACCATTTTTTTAAATGTATGAATTACACATTCTTAATTCCATGGCACAAGTATTCAAAATACACACACACACACACACACACACACACACACACACACACACACACACACACACACACACACACACACACACACACACACACACACACACACACACACACACACACACACACACACACACACACACACACACACGGGGAGCTCACCTGCGCTGACAGTGACCGCCTCCACAAACTGTTCCCTCCAGGAGTGTGTGCCGATCACCAGCGCCAAGTTGGTCTTCTTAATGAGCTTGTCGACGGTGCTCTGACAGTCAAAAACACACAACACACCTCGTTAGCGACCAATTACAGCCGAGGACAGCTGACAGAGTCGCTCAGGTGTAGCTACACCTGTCTCCACGCTGTGCTCTTCCTGCCCGACACAAACAAATGCAGCTGAACAGTAGAGTGAGTAAGAAGTGCACGTCACTAACGGGATGGTATCCACAGGTTTGTGGACTGCCTGCGGCTGTCGCCATCTTTGGTTTTGGAGCCAGCTAAAGAGAAGGGAGATGTTTGCTAATAAAGTTATTAGCTTCATAAGAAATGCTAATCCACTTGAACACTAGCTGTGGTATTAAATAATATAAGAGTTCTGTTGAAGGGGATATATTATGACAGTGTTTCTGAACATATATTGGGTAACCTGAGAGTCTACTGACCCACAACATGTGAAATAAACCCATCCAGGTCTTTGTTTGTGGTCTGCATAAGTCTTACAACACAGAGAACAATGCTCTGTTTCTAATTTGCTCTCCTTGTGATGTCACAGTGGGATTCTGGAAAAAACAAAATCCCACCCATGGACTCCATCCCCAACTTAGAACAAAACTTTTGCACAGGTACGCCATTTTTATTGCAGCCAGTAAAGAAGTGATGTCTACTGGGGAAAACTCAGCACAGCACAGATGTTTCATGTAGACCACAGGAGACTGTTTGAAAAGGTGGAAGAGGGGGAGGATATGTCCTCTTTAAAGGAAAAACATTTTAAACAAAATCTAGCAACATGAGGAACATGGTCTTTAAGCTGTTGATTTGTTATTTGATGAAAGGCGAGAGGAAACATAACAAAAACCAACACTGATCAAACTTTGACCGTGAGTGTGTTCTTCTGTAGCGACTTGAGAGAGACTTTTTATCTGTAAGTTAAATGTGTGTTTAAGTTACAGGAAGGGGCGTGGTCATCCCTTCTGCGCACGTCCAGATTCGGTCACCAGCACACAGAATGCCAGCGCCCTGCATCCGGGGTGTTTTTAACTTCAACTTCTCCATCCACTCTCATCGATCGCCTGTGTATTTACTCTAAAGGCCAATCATATTAAATCATCGCTCCCTGACTCGCTGCTCACTAACCACAAATCACAAGAGACAGGGCCAATAAAAAGGGAAACCGAGGTTCAGCTGACCTCCTAATCAAATACAGGACGGAGATATTGAATGTTAGCGGAGCGATGAGGGAACAACACGCTCTCATTTATCTGTTCTGTTGTTGTTTGTTTCTCTTTCTCTCTCCGTCTATTATTTATTCTCAAAGCATCAAAACAATCTAATGTGATGTGGGCTTTTAATTGGGGGAAAGTTTTGAGGAGGAGGATGTTTGATTTGTTTGCTTCCTCTGACAAGTCAAACTTTGACTTTTTCAAATATAACGTCTAAGTATATTTAATATCGAGAGAATGTGTAAAAGAGCAAAAGAGGGTTTTTTTAAGGTGACACATTTAAATCATAGACTGTAAACATCAGGCTGTAAACATGTTCATTTATGCTGTAAAAACGAATTTTTTAATGGGTGTGTATGTGACTTCCTGGCTTTTGAAGCCGGTCTCAAGCGGACCCTCAAAGAACATCAGGATTATGAACTTATGTTGACTTCCTTTTTCAACATTCGAGGTTGCCCCATGATTTATACACACTAATAACTGAATGTGTTTAATTTAGTATGAAACTAAAAAGGCTGCAGCAGAAATGATGAAAGATAAAGAAGACAAACGAGTAAATTCATAAAGTCTGGAGTAGATTTCAGGATTTCGGGGCTTTCAAAACATCCTCGCCTTGATCGCAAACATGAGCGCTGATATCAAAAAGTTTCACGTCATGTTGAAATGTTTATCTGGAGAATTAAAAACAGACTAAGAGGTGTAAAACAACACAAAATAATCACCTCAGTACGACTGTAAAAACAGCTCTAACAGGTCACTTGAGGGAACTGGAACATTTCCTTAATTAAGAATCCATTGTTTAAATTTTCATCAGAGCAGAAAACAGACGGCTTTGCAGTAATGTTATATAATCAGTGTGTGTGTGTGTGACTTCAGTGGAGGGAGACGTGTAGTCGAGCCGAGTGCTAAAATATTTATTTTACTGCTTTACTGGTTTGCTGCTGGAGCGGCAGGCAGTGGGGTCTGAGCAGATATGGCCTTGTGTGGTTTGTGGTTTGATTTCTTAAAAATACACCTGAGCTTTAATGCACATTTCAAATATCCTGATGTGCTCGGCTTCCCCCCGACTTCGCTCTTCATGCACAGGTGAACGCAGTGACAGCACAGCCCCGCTCTGCACGCCTCGGGGCTGGCAGCTGCATCGAGGGCAACACATGCGCTTTTTAATAATTCAAACTCCACATTAGACCTGCTCCCTGAGAGGGGGTTAAGACCCGCCTCAGGAATGTGAGAAAGAACGAAACAATGGATTTTTCACAACATGCCCAGAAAAGCACAGATCGATGCTTTCCCCCCCCAAACGGCTGTGAGCAGGGCGGGAAACTCCTGCTCTGGGTTTCGGCTTCAGGAGCAAAATGTCCAACTTTCACTGACATATTTTGAATAACATTTTGTAAATTAAAAGTCTGACTGAGTGGATGTTCAGTGGTTTTGCCTGCAGCTTTAGGAGTTTTATTTCATGTCTTTTTTTTATTATTTCACGAATGGGATGATCTGAGGTAATAAACCTTCGAAGCAGCTCTGGGCTTCCATCAATAAGTCATCATCACATTTATCGAGGATATCAGAATAATAACTGAGGTTAAAAAACAACAAGGAGCGCAGCAGACATAAATTACAGACACGGGGAGAGAGAGAGAGATTTAAACTCATGAGGACAGACATCATAAATCACAAAGATGCTGCTCTCCTCCCAGAGGAAACTTTAGCCACCTCACATGATGCTCTCCTAAAAGCGTCAGGCAGACTGCCTCTGAAATCTTTGCACAGACGTCCCTCACAGTGGGACAGGAGGGGACGATCACCCCCTCCCACTTGCTTGTGGTGAATGTTCCTGAATATTTCCTGCTGTGTTCACACATCAGCTCATGCCAAAAGTGTACCAGGAAAAAAATTTGGGTCGAGGCAAAGGGGAAAAATTCATCTGGAAGCTTTCATACATGCAGCTCATCTTGAAAACTTGTGACAGAATCATCTGTGGGTCAAATAAAGGGATGAAAAGTTTGAACCTTGAACTCGTACGACTCCTCGATGACCACCTCCAGGCGGCTGTGCTCCCCCAGGATGGGCTTCCCCATCTCGGCTATCCTCCGGGCCTCCTCTTCCTCGGAACTCATCTGCCCCTCCGCCCCGTCTGTGGGGAGAAAAGAGGAAGGGGGGATGTGAAGGAAACAATGAGGACACCAACAGTGAGTGTAGAAAACAAAATCCATGTCACACATATTCTCAAGCCCTGCCTGTATCAATAATAGATCGTGAGTCAACGTTTTATTTAGAGCTGCACTACATCGCTAGTGTGTGTGTGTGTGTGTGTGTGTGAGTGTGCGGAGAGCCGAGGATCTACAGACAGAAGAGAGAAAAGCAGGGGTGGAAAGTTTCTTCCACACTCTCACATTCTGCTGTTTGGCTGCAAAACACAAGTTCAGACTTTTAATGAAAAAAAACATGAACCAGAAAGAAGCTCAAACTACATCATGAGATCATCTGAGGAACCACAGACTGTGCAATGACACTAACGTACGTTTAACAATATAACTCATAACACAGTGGAAGACAGCTGCAATGCACCAATATTAGATTTTGACAACAAACAAGCTTCTTATAAAGTCCTGGAAAATGGAGGACGACACTTTGCTGCACTTGCATTATGGCTAGAGTGTCTTTAACTCTGACTTTTCTGATTGGTTGTTATGGAAACACTGGTCACTACAGCAGTCAAACCAGCATTCAAATCCTGGGATCAGGCCCTGCATAAGGTCCTGTGTTAAGAACTGAGATGTCAGCACCTTGTTTACGGCTTATAAAGTCATAGTAGTAAAGTTATATTTGTATAAAGGTGCACATCAATAATCCCCAGAGCTCAAAGGGGAATCATCGTCCTGTGGGACCACATGCCAACATTTTCTCCCATGTTTGACCATGAACGATGACTTCCTCTGCTCAATAAAAAACCTCTCCTATTAGATACCAGCGTTAAAATGTCATCCCTCAGTCGTTGCAGATTGGTCGATGTCTGTCAACAGGGCCGATACCGATGTTAAACCAATACATTGGTTCATTCCTAGATTTTATTTTTTGTTATCCACGGTGCATATTAAGTAATCTCAATCCGATTATACAGAAACTAACAGAGAGAGTGAGCCAGTCAACAGTCTGCTCTCTGCTCTGACGAGAGGCTGAAACCGTCTGCTGATCCGAGAAGAGTTCAGAAACATGACGCTCTCTCTGCTGAGTGTTTCTGTAAGTCTGCTGTAAGTGGCTTTTTCTCACTTATCCCTTTGCTCTGGAGTGAGAGAGGAAGAAAATAGACACGAGGTGGTATGGAGAGAGAGAGAGAGTGTGTGTGTGTGTGTGTGTGTGTGTGTGTGTGTGTGTGTGTGTGTGTGTGTGTGTGTGTGTGTGTGTGCATTCACAGATTACAGCTCTTCCTCCCTGTCTAATTATGAAAAGGCTGTAAGAGTAAAGCAGCATGTGGCAGCCGTCCCTGCTGCATTCAAAGACTCTATTTCAGGCTGTCATGAACACACACACACACACACACACACACACACACACACACACACACACACACACACACACACACACACACACACACACACACACACACACACACACACACACACACACACACACACACACACACACGGCCTAACTTTCCTCTGAGCGGTAACATCATCTACCTTCTAACCAGACAATGAGAGCGCCTCCCCCGCTGTGAGAGTCGACTGAGGTGAACGAGAGAAACTGCCTTCAGGGCAATAAGCGTCATTATGTGTCATGGCTGCTGCAGGGCCTCCCACTCCTTCTCCGGGCTTCTGCTTCTGATCTTCAGTCATTTGAGGTTAAAGGGACTCGGCTTCTTTTGCACTCTGGCGGCTCCAAGTGGCAGCAAGAGGTATTTAACATTTTAGAAAGTGTTTTTTTTTTCCTTTCCTTTTGCATACAGCGGTGATTCACAAACTTAAAGCTTATGATAATCAGTGCACACAGTTCTGTACTGCAAAATCAATTAATGGCCAATTTTGTTTTAGGTCTGCCATGTACGTGTCACCATGCTCTCTCTCTCTCTCTCTTTTGCTCGCAGCAGCTTTGTGTGTTTATTTAACCTTTATTTAAGCAGGAAAGAAACTCATTGAGATTAAAAATCTCTTTTTCAAGAGTGTCCTGGCCAAGACAGGCAGCAAAACATTTATAGAGTTTCACACGGACGACGAGCAGCCAATCTTTCAAATACAAAATACGTTAGACATTAAAAGACACAAATAACAAATCCAAAGAGCAAAATGTTTGTCAGAAATCATCCACAAATACATCAGGAAGAAAATCTACAGCCAGATGTGTCCGCCTCCAGGTCATTTAACTTCCTCTTAAAAGCATCCAACGAGAGAAGTTCATTAAGTTTCAGCTCTTTTTGTCCAACATGACTGAAGATCTAAACTTCTAAGCTTCACCTCTTTTTCAATACTATCTACATTTTTCACAAACCTTCCTTCTAACTTTGCAATGCTGCCATAAAGATATTAAACTGTCCTGCAGCCCAGAGTATGAAGAACACCACAGTCCTTGTGTTTCTAAACATGATGAAGGACAGGAGCTCTGCAGGCTCCTTCTGGCTGAGTGAGAAAAGCGATACAGCGATACATCAGCATCAGCACAGTGAGCGAGCAGAAGAGAGAGAGAGAGAGAGAGAGAGAGAGAGAGAGAGAGAGAGAGACAGAGAGAGAGAGGAAGAGAGGAAGAGAGGAGCGCCGGCTCATTTGTAAAGCGTTTATTTCCAAACTGTTCGATTGTGCCGCGCTGTGATTCCCTGAGGCCGGTTCTGCTCTGATCCAAACGCAAACAGACGAAAAGCCATCGCTCCTCAAGCAGAGCCAACAAGAGACGCCAGGAGTGAGAGAGAGGCCGTTAACACCGACCTGCAGAGTGAACAATGTGAGCTCTGAGCTGAAAACACGAGCAGCTGCAGGAAGAAAAAAAACCACTCTGCTGTTCAACAAAGAAAAACAAACGATAAACGCCTCAGCTGCAACTGAAATATAAGACGTTTCTGTGAATATTCATCTGAGTGATTATCTCCTCACTGCACTGAATCTCAGATGAATGCAGAATTTTAACATTCAACTTTTTCTACCAGACTCTCCTCTGCTCTCTGAGTGAACCTCCTGCTGTCAGCATCAATAATGTCGATCAGCTCGTGCACTGTACCCCCCTCAAGCTGCTTCTTAATGACTGCTTCTGTTGAATGCACACTGTCAATGCTGCTAACGGGAATGATGCTAACACACAGTGAGAAAACTGGACTTGGTATGAAGGTATGAGAATGAGAAAAAGGAGCTCCCGTTTAAAGAATTTATTAACAAGCGACGTTTCCAGGCAACATGCTCGATCGAGTCTGAGGAGGAAATGTTGGCTGGAAACGTCACTCGTTAATAAATCTTTCAGACAGAAGCTCCTTGGTGTGCAGATTTCATTTTTTTGCAGCACCCACTTAGTGGGTCATGAACAGCAAAGTAAACACAGGAAGCGTTCTCTGGATCTTTACAGGATGACATTCACAAGCAGCTGCACAGAAACATCATGAGTATAAAGTTTTATAAACATGCTTTTATCAATATGATGTGCTAAGCTAATATCATCAGTAATTAGTGATGTGGTAATGTCAAGATGTTGCCCTCTTTCTGCATCAAAATGTGCACAAATGTAAAGCTGATGATTTGATTCTGACACAACCAGTCATGTTTTCTGTCCATTTATTTTAGTATTATTTTCATTTCCTGTTTTATTTTGTACTTACCCTTACCTCTGTCTTTCAGATCTTGATCCCGCCTTGTGCTCCCCCCCCCCCGATCATCCCTCTTTGCCCTGCCTCATGTTGCATGTTCATAGTGTAAGTCCTTGTGTCGCCTTGTTCTAGCATTCTTTACTCATGAGTTTTCTAGTGTTTGACCTCGGCCTGCCTCTTTTGACTTTTGCCTGGATTAGTTTGCTTGAGTATTTTTGGATTACCTGTGCACCGACCTGGACCATTTATTAAACTCTCCCCTTTTTATTGTATCCTGCTTTGTGTGAGGCGACGTTTTTGGTTCCTTGAATCTGTCTGGTTCTTTTAGATTCAGTCCGGTACCTTTCTTAGCTTGTCAAATGGAAAACGTTGTTCTGCTCTTCTCGGTTTGTGTTCATTCTGAAGTGTGTGTGTCTTCAGGTCCAACAAAGAAGTCATCATCTTTGGCTACAGGAACTATGAAGGTATTCTCTCATGATCTGACCAATAAAAAACACAAGCTTGTTTCTAATGAGGAGAATAACGAGATGTTCTTACCTTGGCTGAGTAGCAGAGCTGTAAGGAGAAAAAGAAACAAAGAGAGTGTGTGAGTAAAGACACACACACACATAATTACCTAATAATTCACTTTTTTTGTCTACATCTGTAAATTTTGTAATTACTGTACATAGCACAGACTCTTGCACTTTCTGCTTATTTGCACTTCTGGTGAGATGCCAAACCTCATTTCGTTACTCTATACTTGTATATGTGTAATGACAATAAAGTTGAATCTCATCTCATCTCATCTCATCACACATGCAGCTCTGCAGCAGTTCATTAAAGTCTCCTTCTTATAATGCATCAAAGAGCTCGCTATGTTCGGATCAAAGTGCAAACACAAGAAAACTGAAAACTCTGTCACACACTTTCCCTGAACAAACTAATCGTCCTCCTGATCCTCTGCGTGTGTGTGTGTGTGTGTGTGTGTGTGTGTGTGTGTGTGTGTGTGTGTTGAGCATTAATTATAGATTTATCCTTCAGACTCTGAGTGTGTGTGTGTGTGTGTACATCCTTGAGTCTTAGATCTGATCGATCATTACTGATCCCTGTGGGTGACGCAGGAGTGAAAGTGCAGACGGCGTCTCTCCTCATTCAGACGCAAAACAAGAGCAAACTGCACAGAACGTTTTGGGTTTGTCAGCTCTGTCTGCTTTCTGAATTACACTTTGAGACGGAGCAGATAGCGAGAGGCAATTAATGCGCTCTTAACGGCTGCAATCCCTCTCTGTCGAGTCGTCGTCATGTCCCAAAGTAAACATAAACTGAGCGTGCATGGTGGAGCTATAACCTGTCGCTGTCTTACTCCATGTGTTTGGTTTCTCTGTTTCCGAGCAGCCTTTTCTATAATGTTTGGAAGGTGATGTTGCTCCGTCTGCAGCTCTGCTGATAAGCGTGCCACCTTGAATAATTCAGCCTCAGACCTCTCCACCCGGGGGCCTCTTTTGATGACTTTCTGTTTACTCATGTTGGGGTTGTTTTTAATAATTCATGAAAGAGACCCGAAAGTGAACGGTCCAGTAAATTACATTAAGAGGCCAAAAAAAGTGTCAAAGTTTGAAAGAAACATGAGAGAAGAAGAAGTTTAATTCTAAATCAGAACATCTGGAGGCTCAGCTGGGATCATGTGTTTGACGTCTGGTCGTGGACTCTTTATTTATCAGGTTAAATGAAATACTGAGCGCTGAAGAGTAAAATGACACCGTGTGTGTACCTGAGATTCCTCTCTTCAGCCAGCGAGGCTCCTCCAACACGATGAAGAAGTTTTCATGTTTCTCGTACTCTTCATCGTCAATGATCCTCACCTGGAATGTCTGACTGCACACACACACACACACACACACACACACACACACACACACACACACACACACACACACACACACACACACACACACACACACACACACACACACACACACACACACACACACACACACACACACACACACACACACAAACAGAAGAACTTTAACAAACTATACAAAGTATTTTGTACTCCTGAGGCAAACACTTCTAATTTCATCAGTGTATTCAGTGGAACAACCACACACACACACTTTCAGACACACACACAGGCACATAAACACACATGCACGCACACACACACACACACACACACACACACACAGTCTGTCACATAAATGAAGTAAAACATTTCATCAATAGGTAATGTAGTGCTGGCAGGGCGTTCACCACTCTGTCATCCTTTCTATCGACATTCTGGTCCTGCAAACCCCGAGGACCATGAACATGCATTCACTCAGAGACATAGACATTACACACACACACACACACACACACACACACACACACACACACACACACACACACACACACACACACACACACACACACACACACACACACACACACACACACACACACACACACACACACACACACACACACACACACACACACACACACACGGTGGTCTCCCTCCTGTTATCTCTGACCAGGCTGAGCTGTGTGTAAATCAGATGGGAGCAGCAGGATGCAGAGAGAGGACACACGATCAATAATTCAGTTTAAGGTTGATGCAGAAAAAGAGAGGAAGAAAAGAAGAAGAAAAGAAGAAAAGAAGAAGCAGAAAAACATTTAAGAAAGCGAACAGATTCAAACTGAAAAAGAGGATCAAAGTGGGAGAGAGGAAACCGCTTTATGACAGAAGATACTGTTTTGTTTGGTCTCAAGTCAAACGGTATAAATCATTGTTGCCATCTCTGCTCAGGTATCATATATTTAAAATTGACAACATCAAATTATATACATTTTCTGACTTTCAATGATTTTGTTTGGAAAAGCAATATCATCGAGTATAATCTTACAAAGTCTCAAAGCATAACTCCAACACCCTGAAACACCTGAGTTAATGCATCAATTCATGTATGAAGATGTTGTAAATACATGTGCATCTTCCTGATCATCTGTGGACTCTTATCTCAAGCATACAGACACATTTGTCATTTAGATTTTCTGATATTTTAAATGTTTTTTGGGGGGTTTGTGTTGAAGTCAGTTTCCTGTTGCTGCAGAAAACGATGCCATGAGATCTGTCTGAGAATAATCCAGAACAGTTCAGTCCACATCCAAAAAGCGTTACACTTTGTAGAAACTATAAAAGCTCAGCTCAAACCTCTGCAGGTTCCACATGACCAGTGACTTCTTTAACAATGTTCCATCAGATATAAGACATTTAGACAGGAAGTATGTTAGCTGGTCATTTGATGAGAACTTTAGCAAAGACGTATTTTCAGAAACTTTCCTTCAGATATATTTAAGAGTTTGTGAAAGAATCTGACGCAGGAAAAGTGAGTCAGACAGGTTTTTTTTTAGTCCATCTTGACGTCTGCTGTTTGCAAGGTACAAGGACAGAGAGGGCTATTAGAGGAGAGGAAGTGATGATGACAAAACCTGTTAGCGTCTCTGAGGACCGACGGACTTAAACGTCTCTATGGAAACCGGCTCGCAGCGATTCCGAGGCCAATCTCACAACAAGCAAAGAAGCAGAGAGGGGAAGGGGAGAGAGCGGCTGGAGATGGAGAGAAAAATAAATATGAAGGGGGAGGTATGAAGAGGAGAAACTGAAGTAGAAGGAAAGAAGGGATGGAAGATGATTACAAGAAGGGAGGACAGGATTTTGTGCATGCAGAGTCATGGAGTTGAAAAAAAGCACGACAGAACAAGAAGAACAAGGAAAGGACGCAGAGAGAAGAGGAGAAGAAGACGGTGTAAATATAAGAGAAGAAACAAACCAGGGAAAGAGAAGTAAAGAACTAAAAGAGTGAAAGTATAAAGATAAAGTACAAAACCATAAACAGATGGGGGGAGGCAGAAATCAATGATGACATCATCTAATCATCCTGTAGATTCATGTGTTATCGGCCCATTAAATGGTCAGGATCAGATGTCAACAGGGCTAAAAATACTGAAGTGTGGGTCTATAAGAGCCACCTGGTGTGACGAGTTTAATGAGGTGAAATGACCCATTTTCACTCTGAGGTGGCCGACCCTGTAGTGGCCTTCAAAATGTGTCTGAAGTCAAGCAAAGGTCAGATTTCTTATTTTTTACTCTGGCGATCAGCACGTTTAATTTCACCACTTTCCCAGCTCCAACTCTAAATAGAAAGATATTTAAAAAAAACTCAATTTCATTCTCAAACTGACGAAAGAAGACATATATATTAAGACATATATACTATCAATATTAATGTTTCAAACACATTCACACGCTGGACGAAGGGACAGGAGCAAAATTGGGTTAAGTGTCTTTCCCAAGGACGCATTTTCCACAAGTGGAAGTGTACATACCTTGTATGATTCTATTATTGCATTTTTTCTCCCTTTATTTAACTGATGTACATGTTTGATGTTTAACTTCTTGTTATTTTTGATAATTATATTCCTGTTTCTTGAGCTGTTGTGACAAAAAATGTCCCCCATGGGGGATCAATAAAGTTTATCTTTATCTTTGAACATGTGGCTGCAGGAGCTGGGGATCGAACCCCGAACATTCAGGTCAAGAGACGACCGACCCTTCCACTGAGCCACAGCCGTTTTGGATCTGTGCATGAGAGTTAAAGCTGTTGAGAACAATAGTTAAGATGTGTGTAACAGAGTCCATGCATTTTATAGTGCATGTATTAATAAAGTACGGTGGCTGGTGAGGACAAACAGTCTCTCTTCTCATTAACAAAGTGTCTGACTGAGCGCCCCTGGAGCATTTCCGTCAATATTGGATTTGCAGCTTTTTGCTTTGGCAGCAGTTTTCTGAATTTGTGTGTTTTTCACTTTGCAGCATTTCTTTATTTGCAGCTGATGAGTGCCAGACAATTAAATCTCAGGGTCTCCTGAGGCAAGATGTGATAAAAAAAAAAAAGGATGCATATTTTATCCTGCTGTGTTCTCACATCAGGAAGGAATACTAGGAGGCTGGCAGGAGAAACTCCAGGTAAAGTAAAGAGAAAAAAACAGCTGTTTGCATTCACACACTCCTGCAAATATCAGGAGCTTTTCAAGATCTTTCTGCAAGTTTGAAAATCACTATAAGTGTAGTGTAATCATTACTAGGCACCTACTGAGTACATGATTGCAGAGACGCTGAGGTATATGGGTCGAGAAAACAAATGGTTGAGCCTCCTGGTCATGTCGAGTCCTATTTTAGGAAAGCAAGATGGATGTGAGGTAAGAAAATGGACCAAGAGAGCAAAGGTCCTGCTCTCAGGGGAGGACTGGATGGAGACAGATAAGAGAATGAGCTCTGAGAGGAGGGAGTCACCTCTAAAGACAAAGATAGAAATGTAAAAGTCCTGTGAGTGTTCTGCAGGAGTTTATATGTGGAACTGCAGTCTCAGCTGTTTTTTTACTGTCAAAGTTAGATCTGCAGGTTTGCCATCTCATCATCTGCAGAGACGAGAACATGGTGAACCTCGCAGCAGAAATGTTCCAGTCATCTAGTTTGAGGCTTTCTTGGGGGCGAGGATGACACATTCTCAGACGGCCATCATTAACCAGCGGGGAGAACAAACTGGATTAAATGACATTGTAAGAGCGGGGGCGAGGAAGGTGTGCTGTGAAAATGTTATCGAGCTTTCCCCCCCATCACAGAAACACGCTGAGATCCACTCAGCCCTGCCTCACCTAATGCAGCTCTCTGTCAGTCAATGAAGCTGCCAGTTTACATCAGCTGAGAGCTGCTGGAATCAATATCACTCAACAAACAGTCCATTCCTGTTTGCTACAGGTGCTGCACAAACACCAAAAAAATAAAAATAGGACACTGATTGCGAACATCCACAGGCAATAAGAGACGAGCTGAATGAATAATCTGACAGGTTATCGTCTGATTTATTCCAGGCATGCTTCACAGGTTTTCATACTTGTGATGACGAGTCATGCAGTGGAAATGTGAGGAGTTAGCAGGTTGTTGTCTTTTTTTATTTTGATGATAAGTTTAACAGTAAGTTGATGAGAGACTCCAGAGACTCATTAAGGACAGGTCTCGAACTCTGTAGCAGAGGTGTTGTTTTGTTTTGCAGCTAAACAAGGCACATCACATTCACCCGACGTTTCTGTACCCACACACACTCTGCTGAAAATGAGGTCTCACTCAAACACAGCGCGCACATCAACTCAAACTCCTGCACTCATCGCCTCCCCTCAGCCTCCGTGAATAACAAGGAGGGCTTGTTTTCTTGAAAAGGGGGTGAAGACAGAGAGCGTGAGATGGAGACAGAGGAGGGGAAAAGGTGAGAGACGAAGCAAGGTTAATGAGGGAGGGAGTCGAGGAGGGGGGAGACAACATGAGGAGGCAGACGGGAGGCGAGTGAATGAGGAAAATAACAAAAGCAGCAAAGAGGAAGAGGCCAAAAACTTCCTTCTAAGAGTTTTAATAGACGAGCTCTGAAAAATATGAGCGCAGATGTGAAAGCCAGTTTTCTAATCAATACCCAGGAGGCATTGCAAAAACATAAGCTAGCTGGCAAACACTAATCTTTACTCGCAGACATAAAACTGAAGAACATCTGAAAGTCGAGGATTATATGACTTAAAACTGTCTAACTGCTAAACTTCTGCAGGACACCAAGAGCTGCGGATTATGTACCATTCAGAAGGAGAAACTATCTGACTGAATCTGCTGCCACATTCATATGAAGGAAACATTATTATTCATAGTTTATACATTTATTGTCTAAAAGATTTCTCCATGTAACAAAGAGACAAACATCTTTAGGTCAGAGAAGCAGGATTACTGTTAGTGTAGCTGGTTCTCTATTGTTATTTTGAATTTTCAGAATGAATACTCAAATCTACATGAGTATATTTAATTAAGGCCAGAAGGTAGAAAAAGAAAAAGATCTGTTTAGGTCTCCACTAACTCGTCAGAATTTTCTGAATGTAGATTTTTTTTCTTAATTCACCAGCGCATCATTGAATGTTTATGATTATTAAAACAGAAAATAAGACATGCTGAGCACGATTTAAATGAAATCCAGGAGACACAGACACATTTCACTAATGGACGATAATGTTCATCATATGGTATCTTAAAGTAAAGTATCTTAGAGTATCATATCTCTACTGAACTTATCTGGTATTGTGTCGCGTCATGTCGTTTCCTGTCATGTTGTATTATTCTAAGATGGAGATGAGATTTATTTTTGTGAATTTTTATTTTATAGATATTAATTTTTCTCAGGTTGAGATGATTTTCATTTATATTTACATTTTGTACTTGCATACAACTGCAAGACTTACTGTTTGATATGGTGCACTTTGCCTTTAAGGTTGCTAAGGGTTACGGTCGGAGGAGTGATACTGCTTTAAAGTCTTTATCTGTGATTTTTCACACTTAAATGTAGAAATCAAGTATCTCCTCTGAAAATAACTCTCTGAGTCATGACTGTCTACAATGGGTGTAACACTCGAGTCCCACTGTCTGTGATGTTTTCAGAGTTTTCAGAGTCCTATCTTCACTTTGTTTACATCGCCAGGACGGCCGGCTGACTCCTCCCCTCGTGTATAAAAGTTGTTTAATTGAGGGACTAGAGAAAAGAAGAATAACATACTGTACTCACTGCTTAACTGTGTTTCTAGATCACGCTCATTTCAGGTAAATTTACATGCAGTGTGAAGATACCAGCATAATAAAGATCACTAGCATTAGCATGCTAACACAACAATGCAGCGCGAGTTGTTTTGGTTTCATGCTGGAGCTCAAGGGCGACATCTGCTGGATCAAAAATCAATCAACAATCAACATCACCCAAGAAGCGCCGTTACTTCATATCTTATAAATACTTATCTCAGATTGTATCATATCGTATCGTATCGTACCGTACTGTATAGTATCGTATCATGATATCTGCTTTGACTCACGTTGTCTGGTCGTTTGTGAACTCCAGCTCCCCCCGGGCGTCCTCGTAGTCGTCTCCGGCCTTGGCGGTGCCGGACTCGGTGTGGTACGGCAGGATGACGGTGCCTCGGGCGCCCGAGTTCCTCACCACCGTCACCTCCATGGTGCCGACGCTCTCGCTCACCCGCACCATGCGCTCGCTGAACGTGAAGATGCCGGCGTGGTCGTCGTCCAGGATGGTCACCGTGGCGACCAGGGGCTCGACCAAGCGACATTTAGGGGCGGCGCCGACTTCATCGCTCTCGAACATGCCCTCCGCGTCGCCGACACGCAGATTCAGCAGACGCACAAAGAAGTGCTCGTCCTCCTCGAAGATGTCGTCATCGATTATCCCGACCTGGAGACACAGAGAGGGTGACGGAGGTCGTTATCTCCAGCTGTGAACGTTCTCACTTCAACTATTGGAACGTCCTCTAACGGGTTGAATCAACAAGATGGAGGTAAAGGTCAAGAGGTGTGCAAGGTCATTTTTGGAAACGTGATTTAATTGTTTGAATACTGTGGACGTGGTACTTATTTTTTTAATGGACATGTTGTCCTTGATATAGTCTTAACTAGCTAGCTCAGCTGTCGATTAACCAAATCATTGTTGCTAATGCTAGCGCTGTTTAGCTAGCAGCACGGTCCAGCTCCGGGTGACTAGGTGTGTATGTTCACTGCTTGTACATAGCTAACGCTAGCACAAGCTAACCGCAGATGTTTGGCACCTGCCCGTCCAACGGAAAGCAAGCCAACTCTGTGAAAGCCAACACAAGGTCCAGCCACGCTTTGGAACAAACTTTTTTTGCAGTTGGCGTTTCACCTCACTGTGATTATATTTTCTGTGTCTGTCTTATTCAACATCCAACCGCTGGATTGTACCCGCTCCTAAACGCACTCATTTATGCAGAAGTTTTCTTGCAATTTTTGGTCATTAAAAACAATAAATGACCCACTTCAGGCGGCCTAGGACTTCATTTTCTGTTGCCGTGGTAATGAAACAGATATCTATAACTTAGTTTTTACAGGTATTGCATCAAACTGAAAAGTTCAGGTATCATCCTCGTTTTTGTGAAATGTAATTTTAAGTCTGAGCGGTCTCTGAAATGTGCTTCTTTGTGTGTCAGAATAACAAATAGTACACGTATCCACGTTGGTTATTAAAGGTCTGAAGCTCTGTGAACAATCTGAATGTGTCGTCAGTTCTCCTCTGCAGGAATTATTTTCAGACTTTAATAATCGGCTGAATTGTTAAAATCTTGTGATTAGACTTCAATGAGCTGCAAATTAGATAATCTCTAACATGGAGACTTTTAAAATGTACTATTTATGACTGTGTTCTGATAAAGAGCACTGATTGGTCGTCTCTGTGTAATCATCAGGGAGTCCGGTGTGAACGCCGTCACACACAGAGGAGCTGAAATGAAAGTGGACTTCTGTCAGAGCCGAGACACTTTCAGATTTAATTGGTTTTCTTGCTGCTCATCTCATGACACCATGAGCGATCGATGAAACCCACTCGTATTCTGTTGAGATAGAAGACTCTGACCTTTGTCATCTACTCACTCAGCGTGTCTCTTTTACCGCAGGTGGAGGGGGACGGTTCATAAAGTCTGTGTTTTGAACATCCCGCCCTCCACATGACTCTTTTCTGCGACTCTCCTCTCATTCAGCCTTCTATCTGCTTTTTGATCTTTCACTAAACTTTTAATTTGAAGAGAGATTAACTCGGCTTACCTCGTCTTCACCTGGACCAGACGTCCTTCAAGCTTTTAATTCAAAACATAGTGAGCTTTAAAAACCTATAATTAAAGTCAAGCTGGTAGATTTTTGTTTTACTTTACTGAGCTCAGACTGCAGGGGAAAACGTTTGGAAACATCTGCAATCTTATTGTGGTTTTGTATGATATGTATCTGACAGCTCTTTTGAATCTTATCCCTGATGTATACTTAACAGTGAGCTGCTTATATTTCATGTGGACTCTGCACTTTATGTTGATGAAAGCTGCTGTGAGCCTCAGTCAATGATCCTGGTTGTTTCTCTGCTGTATCTAGTGCCTCTTGCATTTTGCATTCTGCTTTTTCACCATGTGTACTTTTGTCCTTTTTGGTTTTTTACTGTCTTCTTCTGTTGCCCTTTTTCTTGTCTTGCCGTAAAACCAATCGCCCTTCGGGGACAAATAAATAAAGTTGAAGTTTTATGTGTTTATTTGAGTAAGCAGAGAGAGAGAACAAAGAGAGAGAGAAATACAGCCTTTTTAATAAACAGGTCTCAATGGCTTTATCTAGCAACGCTGTAACTGCCTGAGGCAATTAGCTCTGGTCTTTGTGGATTAGATGATATTTACAACAACACTTATTTGCGTAGGAAGGGGCCAATTATGCACAAAGTTTTGGAATATTCCCTTATTACGCTGTGTGATTTGCAGTGCAGCCTTTGCACATGCTTTGTGGATTGCATGCCACGGTTTTCTGTCATTTACTCAAGTTTAGCACCCCCAAGAGCAGCATAATCATTTCATGGATCAGGCCCAATGATGTTATTATTAACAGGAAGAAAACCCTAAAACAAACTTGACTGTCATGCACAACCGTTAGAGACACAGTGTGGGGTTATCCAGAAGCTGGCACAATGTTTAACAAGCTTCATTGAGTAAAGACCTGTCAGCCCAGATCTGACCTGCATCAGATCGAGGTCATAATGAAGCAGAAGCAGAATCTTTTCCTCATAGTCCACTGCACAGCTCTTAGATTGCACCTTTTGTACATTTTGTGTTTAAAAAAATAATAATAATATATATATATATATATATATATATATATTTTTTTTTAATTTATTTTATTATTTTTATTTTTATTATTTTATATCTTATATTTTTAAATTCTATTTTATATATTGTAATAGCTTCTTATACTGTATTATTTAAGTTGTTGCTAGTTCTGCTTTATTTCCTTGTTAATTGTTTAGCACCAATACACCAAGTCAAATTCCTTGTATGTGTAAATGTACTTGGCAATAAACCCCGATTCTGATTCTGATTCTGATTCTGATTCTGATTCTGATTGAAGTGCATAAATGTAAAAACCGGCTTCAGCACGGTGCATTAATATTCAGTGTCTTAGCGGCGACTTTGGACTCCCAGCTTTCAGGATGAGTGACGGATCTCCTGTTCCATAATGTATACGATCAGATAATAATTCAGTTTCTCTGCAGGGATCATTAAAGTTTCATCTCATCTCCAAACCTTTAATTAACCTTTAATAATGTGGTGACCTTACTTACAGTGAGACTCAGACCTGACTCTTTGAAGCGGTCCAGGACCAGGTCTTTGTATTTCAGGTGGGCTGTGTGCAGCGCTCAGTGTTGGATTAGATTACTGTGTCGTTCAGTGTTCACAGAGTGTCCGGATCTCCTCTCTCACCTTTATATCTTTCTGAGTCTCTCCGGGTTTGAAAACGAGCGTTCCCTCGTTGTACTCGTAATCGGAGCCGGCGTTGGCAGAACCGTCCTCTGTCCTGTAGTCCACATAGAAGGTGTTCTCCCCCAGACCTCCTAAGCAGCACAGACAAAACAAAGTCATGAACACCACACATAAAGTTATTTTCATTTTAGTTATTAAGCATAAGAAAACATGAGGTAATGAGGAACTTGTATGTGTGCAGAGAAAAGTGGTAAAACCCCCTTTAGCATCAGTGAACGCCTAAGGGCCAGATTCACTGAGACTGGAAGAACAAGTGTGTATTCAGCTTATCTCTCCGCTCAGCATTGTGGCCGAGAGACTATCTGCTGTCCAACGACAGCTTGGAGGCATACCGGGGGTTTCTGACTGCCTTTAACATGGGGCAGCAGTATCAGTCTGCAGGGACTTGGGTTGGGAACCAGAGGGTCACCGGTTCAAGTCTCGGTGCGGAACAAAATATTGGAGTTGGCCTTGTAGCTGGAGGGGTGCCAGGTCACTTCCCTGAGTGCTGCCCAGGGTTAAGCAAGGCGCTGAACTCTGACATCTCTTCATTAATGCATGTCCACAGGTACTGAGTGTGCATGTGTGTGTGTTTCAGGTGTGTGTGTGTGTGTGTGTGTGTGAGAAGCATGTCTCACAATAACAGAGTGTAAACCAGAACTTCCTTAAAGGCTTTATATGCAATTCAGACTCAGACAGAAATCAAGTATCTCCTCTGAAAATAACTCTGTGAGTCATGACTGTCTACAATGGGTGTAACACCCGAGTCCCACTGTCTGTGATGTTTTCAGAGTTTTCAGAGTCCTATCTTCACTTTGTTTACATCGCCAGGACGGCCGGCTGACTCCTCCCCTCGTGTATAAAAGTTGTTTAATTGAGGGACTAGAGAAAAGAAGAATAACATACTGTACTCACTGCTTAACTGTGTTTCTAGATCACGCTCATTTCAGGTAAATTTACATGCAGTGTGAAGATACCAGCATAATAAAGATCGCTAGCATTAGCATGCTAACACAACAATGCAGCGCGAGTTGTTTTGGTTTCATGCTGGTGCTCAAGGGCGACATCTGCTGGATCAAAACATCACATATAAAGCCTTTAACCTTGAGTGGATCAAAGGAAAAAAAAACCCGTATTTCAAACTTTTTTAAGGAAAATAAGGTTTTGTACTTTATAACCACTCAGGTCTCTTCTCTCATTTATTCATGTGAACTCGTGTTTTGGCTCGTGATTGGTTGATTTCTCTACCTTGGCAGATCACAGCGAGCCTCAGAATGCCACAGTTCTCCATGCACTGACTGTGGGCGCTCTCAAATGAGATGCGGCTGCACACTCCCTGGTCTTCTTCTTCTGGTGCTTCCTCATCGGCGACGACTGCACGGCGGGCGTGGTCTGCTGCGTGCTTCTTCAGGATGTTACCGGCGCCGATCATCATACGGGTCGCCTGGAGGGACAGAGTGCACAAAACAAAACATTAACTAGCAGAAATAGACGGTTTGAGGGAACTGGACTTATGTCGTCCTATTTCATCAGTTTCAGGAACAAAGACCAGAAATCCAGGCTAACAAGTCCTTGAACTACTTCACTGTGTGTGTGTGTGTGTGTGTGTGTGTGTGTGTGTGTGTGTGTGTGTGTCACCTGTATGCGGTAGAATGCTCTGCTCTTCTGTTGGTGCAGTAGGGCGTAATAGTTGGCCAGCTCCATCAGCTGGTCGAGCTCTTTGTCGGGATATTTCTGCTTCAGCTCCTTCAGGATCCGAATCACCTGGAGGACAGACGAGAAGATTGATGACCAATAGAAACACTCGAGCACACACACGCTGTTCTAGAGTCTGTCGGGGGCCCCTAAGCTAAATGTAATGGGGGGGGGCGCTCCAACCAGCGTTCATCACCATTATTTTTGTCTTCCTCTTTTTTTCCCACTCCCACACAGATAATTCACGGAGGGGGAGTGCCGTCAGATGGGAGACCTTAGGGAGGTTTCCTACTGTCAATGCAAAATGTGCACATTTTGATGAAGTCTAAAAGTTTGTGAGCCTTCTGGGGCGCCCAAGCAGTCGCCCCCTGAACACTCTGACAGCATCCAGGGTTTGTGTTTCAGCTCTCAGCTCGTCGGCCAAATCACCGCCTCACTTCCTGAGGATGCTTCAACTCTCACAAGGCCTCCTGTCTCATGGTGTTGTATCATTTTCAAGTTTCAATGGCTCAACTCTATTCAGAAGTAACTTTACAAAAAGCTCAAATGTTTCCAAACTAATGTCTATATAACTGTTTTTAAACCATAATCATTTAAAGATGCTACATGCTATGCTAAACTGCACATGTATGAACACTGTAATGTGTGTTTGTGAGT